ATTGTAAAATAATTTTTTTTAAGCTGAATATTTTTATCATTTTCACAGTAAATTTGAGTAACAGAAATTTCGGCTTTGTTATCATCTTGAGTAAATACAGAGAAAAGATGTCCAACAAATTAGAAATATTTAAAAGGTTATTACTTATTGTACCATTTGGAAACCTTAAAGTGCAAATTCCTTCCTTATACTTTTGTTCGCTGTTTACGTTTGAATAAAATTTCTTAGGATCTGATTTAAAACTTTTAGCTAATTCATAATCAAATTGTTTCAAGGCCAAATCAATAGTTCTGAATGTCTTAGTTTTAACTAGTTTGTATTTTGATAATAATTTGTGATTATTTCTACCTGATACAATAAATTTTGGGATGATGTTGATGTCAAAACTATAAAAAGCTCCTTAAATTTACAAAAGGGTTTTACTAAATGGTTTGTGTAAATATAAGATCAAGTATGTTGGTAGATTCCTTGTCAGACTTTTGAAATGTTGGAAAGAATACACATGACAAATATGACAAAAAGTAGTCATTCATAGTTACTGTAAAATTAAATTCAGAACTATATTGATCTGAACATGAAATAATGTAGCTATCATCAATCCATTTTATATTTGGATAATTAAAATCACTAACAAAAAACCTGTAAAAGCATTATTATAAATATGTTTTGCAGGCAGAATCAATTTACTTAGGCTTGAACTATTTGCAGAATTTGGAAGTCTGTAGACACATCCAAATAATATTTTTTTAAACCCATTTTTGAGTCCACACCATATTTGTTTAATATCTAGATAACATAATTCAATAGAGTTAATTTCAAAAGTTATAAGACCTTTTATTTTCGAAAACAGAAAAAATACATTGTCTCAAAGGCTCTTTCGGCTAATGTTTTATCTGGGTTAATTAATATATTTGTTAAATTTTCATGTGAGTGTAATTCCTTTGCTGCAGCAAGTACAGTATTTCTTTGTGTGTTGTCCATGAAGTATATCAAAATTGGAGCAGGTTTTTATTACTATTATTGCACCAGATTTTGTTACACCAAGTATTATTATACTAGCTTCTTTACTTCTTTGTTCATTTTGTTCAATTATTGATGGGTTTAAGTTGATTAGTTGTATTTCACAACTGATCAACCTAAAAAAACAACCATTGTGTTTTTTTCGACGAACAAAAACATCTGCCTGTGAGGGAGTAGATGTTGTTTTTGCATACAATGTCTCAATTCTTTTTAATAATTTTTTGATTATGTCTCTTTGTGCATGCATTATTACGGTTAGATCAATAGTTTTTAAAGTTTTATTTCTTTTTAATTTTTGCATTTTTGTCAAAATTTGTTGGTGATGTTGATTGATGAATTTAATGATTATAACGATGCTAACTCGTTAAACTTTTTAACGATGCTGACTTAAATAAAAGGTTTTAATTTCAATAATGGCAATAATGGACATTTTTGTAAACTTTTAGTTTCCACTTAATAAATAAGATTTTTTTATTTTTTTCCACTGTCAAAAAACAAATTTAAAAAATGTAATTTTAAAACCAATCTATATTCTTGAGTAACCAAAATGTCTAACCAAAACAATAAAACCAATTTTTCACCATTTTTAAAGTTTTTCTATAAACCCAGCAACCAAAATAAACACATTTTATCTCTTTATTAGCAGTCAAAAAAGTTGAAATTTTTTTTTTTTCTTTTAAGAGTAACCTTTCAAGCTAATAGAGTGTGAAAAGCAACAGTCAAAACAAATAAACTTTTAAAAACAACAGCTTTACTGTGCAAATAGAAACAGTTTAAACTAATAGAGTGTGTTGACTTTTCTTTATATTAGGTTTAACTTTGAAAAAAGAAACTTGACAAACATAAAAAAAATTGAGCCAGGAACCTGGTGAGTTTGAACTCTATACTTCTAGCTTCTGAAGCTTCTCAAACGCTTTACCATTTTGACTAATTTAACAAAACAAATATAAAATTTTTATCAATAATTTTTTTTTATAAAAAAGGAAAACTCAACTTAGTCAGAGAAACCTAAGAGAACAAATTTATTACTTTTTATTTTCTACAAGTTACTTATTTTGCATTGCAAATCGCTGAACTATATCTAGTTAGATCAGCATTTCTTATTTAATTCAGCATGATAACATTTGAATTAGTGTTTTTTAAAAGTACAGATTTGCTCAAGAAGTTTTTAAAAGGGCGGATTTGCTCAAGAAATTTTTAACTTTAAAAAAAAACAGATTTATTTGAGTAAAGATTTTTATGATAAGCATATAAAATGTACAAAATATAACCAATATATAAGCTTAAATACATAAACATGGATGTCAAAAATATTCTTTAACATAAATAGGAAAAAACTAAGGCTTGTTGATAGAAACATATAATCCTGTTGGCATGGTGAACCTAGAATGAGCCAGTTTTCCAAAGCTGCACTTCTTCAGATTGGTAGAACAAGGAGCCACTTGTTCAGTACAGCTTGACATATACTAAAAAGTAATGGAATTCATCAACTTTCAGGTTATTTCTGGTTTTTATGCACTTACGGCTTATCTTGCTACGGTCAATAACTTATATATATAATATTTTATCATCATGAGAAATAATGATAAAATCCATTACAGCAGATGTAATAGCTGCAGTAGATCTGTCAGAGTCAATGGCGGTTACAGACCAATGAAAAAAAAAGGAGAGAGGCAATTGCATTTGATTTGGAGATGATGATGATACAGAAGTACTTTCATTAATAGTAGACCATTTTAAAGTACTAGGTGTGGCAGAAATAACAGAATCTAGTGGCATTGCATCAGTATGTTTGAGCTCTGTTTGCTTTGAATATTCTGCAGTTTTGCTGTAACTTCTTTGTTTTGCTTTGATCTTCTAGAAAAGTATGTTCTATAGATGGTACCATATTAACATTGCACAGCAGCATTTCTTTATGATCTTTTCAATGATCTTTGCATTGACAAGCATATAAATCAAACAGTTTAACTAATTTGTTTTTATAGATCTTAAAGTTTTTTTTTTTTGGTTTTCCTTGTCAGCAGTTAGTGTCTTTTGCATCTTTAAGCACTGCTCAAAAAGGTTAAAAATGTTAAGGATGTAAATAATGTCACAATTATTTTGCTGCATTTTCCCAAAAATTTTAAAAACAGCATAGCTGTTGAAATTGAAATTTATAAATATAGAGTTTGCTTTTTAAATTTTTTTTTCATTTCTATTATTTTGTATTTTCACATCCAACAAAGTTTACATACATTGACTGATTTATATAGAATTTTAGAAGCAAGCTTAACAGGAAGATTATGAAAATGAAGACGGGAACAAAGAAAGAACTAACCTACTGATTACTGTTAATGTCAACAAAAATTCCATACATTGTTGAAATTTACTCTAATTCAATAAATTACTCTTATGTTAAAAGTTATCTAAGCTATTTTTACTAAGTTGTTGTTATACTAAAGGTTATCTGAACTATTTTTACTGTTTTTATGTTTATATTATTAATTAGGTTTATATTAATACTAATGACGATGAATTACAAAATAATTGTTATTTTTTATTAAAAAAAACTTTTTTGATTTAAATTTCTCTAAAACATTAGCTATTTATTTACATTTTTGTATAATATTGTATGTGATAAGACTTGTATAATATTGTATGTGATAACAGGCTTGGACATTAATGGCTTTCTATTGCACTCTGTAACTAACCACACTAATAGTTTTTTTCTTTACAATTTGACCATGGCTGTTTTGATGTTTTAACAACTGAAATGAAATTAAAAAAAGTATTAAGTTATAAATAACTTTTAATCGTTGATCTTTTCTAATGTTTTTATTTTACTTGAAGGTTTTAAATACTTATATTTTATTGATTAATGGAATAGTTTTGAAGTATTTTGCAATTTTCTTACAATTAATTTTTATAATTAATCTTTTAAAAGAATATTTTATTTTTTAAAATATTATTATTTTTTTTCTTTCAATTGTGATAGGAATGAATAAGTTTAAATCTTTTATAATATATTTTAAATTTGTTATGTGAAACACTTATTAATAAAGTTTTGAAAAACACATAAAATGACATGACATTTCTTGACTTTATTTTAAAAAATTTCAATCAGGTGTGGGTGAGGGGGTGGGAGGATGAGAGGAAGGGAGGGGAGGTCTTTAAATTGGGGCAAAAATGTAATATAAGGAAGATTGTATTATTTGACAGGTGATTTGTTTATTATTTAGAGACTTTTGAATATCTGGATTTATAAGGCAACTATTGCACATTTCTTCAGTAGAGTTTTCATTATCAATTAACAATGCTAATTTATGAATACATCCGTTAAAATGACGATCAACCTTTATTAAAATCAGGAATTTAAGATCAAAATTTAAGACATAAAAGAATACAGGCCTCGGCGGGAAGCGAGAGTTTCAGCCCAAAACTCCCTTAAAATGGTTCACGGGAGCAATTTAAGGCTCTTGCAAAAATTTTTTTCTCAAAAGAAATTTTAATAGTAATTAAAATAAAAAACACAAAATCATTAAAAAAAAATTAATAAACTGCAATGCTTTCTAAAAGGAACAGTACTTGCAAAAAATTATATAAAAAATGAGCGTTGATTGAAATGCAAATGTTTTTATTAAATTTACTGAAAAGTATAAAATTATTTATGGCAACTCTAAATTATGGCATAATAAATTTTTATTTTATGTAATAAATTATACTTTTTACATATTAATTACTTTAATATATTATTCATTTTTACAGCAGAATTTTTAATTGTTTTAATATTTCTTAAAATGCCTTTTTTTATCAAATAAGTAATGTTAATAAAAAAAATGGATAGCTAGTGTGAAAACACACTAGCTAAAAGACAAAGACATGCCATTCCTGTACAAGCCTGTGATAAGACTTTTGTATAATATTGTATGCGATAAGACTTTTGTGTAATATTGTATGTGACTTCAGATGGTTGTTGACTACTAAAATATACAAACATTTACTTTGTTGTTAAATCTCCTTTTGTGTTATTTAGATATTCATTAAAAGCTTCTTCAAGATGTTTCCATTTTGTAACAAACTTGCGCAATGAATCCTTCAATGATTTTGGTTGATGCTAAAAAAAAAAATATGTTAAACAATTACAAAAATTTTATTAATATATTAACATAATATATCATCCTTAAAAATCAATAGTAAAAAAATTCCCTTCACCAGTAACAAATATTCACTTCTGGCATCTAGACCAATTTAGTATAATTGCAGTCAGAATACAATATTAAAATACAAACTTCTTTCATTCATTTATCTCGCTAAATTGTCTTCATTCATTTATCCCACCAAATTGTATTTATTCATTTATTTCAACAAACTGTAATCATTCATTTGTTTATTGTATTATTTTATTTATCTCATCAAATTGTATTAGTTTGTAATAGAATTAAATTAAATAAAAAGCAATTATATAAACATTTTATTTTAATAATCTGCATGCCAATATATTTAAGTAAGTTTTAGCATAGATTACAACTTTATTTGCAAATAATTTATGGAAAAAATCAAAAAAAATAAATAAATAAAAGTATTAAAATTAATAAACAAAAAGCTTATTTTAAAGATAGAACTAAAAAGTTCAAAGCAAATATCAGCAAAACAAAAAAATTAATTTAAATTTTAAAATGGTTGATTGGGGAACTTTTCTTTTAAACATGCTTCTTTTGTTAAAAATTGCTATGAATTCTATGCATTTATTTGATTCCAAGATAGATTTAGCAGTTGGAATTTAGATTTAGCAGTTGGAATTTAGATTTAGCAGTTGGAATTTAGATTTAACAGTTGGAATTTAGATTTAGCAGTTGGAATTTAGATTTAGCAGTTGGAATTTAGATTTAACAGTTGGAATTTAGATTTAGCAGTTGGAATTTAGATTTAGCAGTTGGAATTTAGATTTAGCAGTTGGAATTTAGATTTAGCAGTTGGAATTTAGATTTAGCAGTTGGAATTTAGATTTAGCAGTTGGAATTTAGATTTAGCAGTTGGAATTTAGATTTAGCAGTTGGAATTTAGATTTAGCAGTTGGAATTTAGATTTAGCAGTTGGAATTTAGATTTAGCAGTTGGAATTTAGATTTAGTAGTTGGAATTTAGATTTAGCAGTATATTTTCTGAATTTGTTTTTCTACAACTCCAGCATTAAATAAAGGTAGAAATTGATTTTTTTTTTTTTTTTTTTTTTAAACTTTGAATCAGTGTGTTATTTCTGGTGTCAGTAATACCTGTATAATACCTTTTCTGCAGAACTTTTATAACACACCTTCTAAACTAGTATGACATGAACTGTCTGTTAACATATTAAATTTTATAACTTATCCTTGATTATTGACCACTGGTGAAACACCACCAATGTCCACTTATTAACTAAACCTGCATGATTGCAGAACCAAATAGAAGGCAGCGCTATCATAATAAAAACACAAGTAATTGCTATGATTAAGACACTAAAATTAAATGTAAATTTACACTTTTTCACACTATTTTCCTTATTGTCCTTCTTTTCTAGCAAGTCTTTGCTACTTTTTCCAAAAATAAGCTTAAAATTTCTTTAACTCTTTTGCACCTAAATTTAATATTTTAAACATTTAACACATTTAAAATAATAGAATAGTGAAAAAAGGCAATTACAGTCTTTACACAACAAAAACTATACATTTTCTAAAAGAAAAACAAATATGTATTATGTATCTTTTAAAAATTATATACATATTAACATCCAACAAGGCTGCAAAAAACCACTATTAGATTTGGAAGAGAAAAGAAGAAGTTAATAAAGTTAACAATAAAAGAAAACAATTAAGAAACAACTTAAGAGATTGAAAATTATATGAATCAGAAAAACAAGATGAAGGTAGCGAATTCGAAAGAACTGATGACGCAGAAAAAAAAGTAGACGAAAGAGAGTTTGTGGAGCACTTAGTAACAGTCACAGTAAAAAGGATGATACTTAATTGAATGACGAGTAACACAAGAACGAATTTTAGTAGACGGCAAATGAGACGGTAGCTATTTAGAGCAGCACCCATTATAGTATTTATATGAAAGAGAAAGAGTAGCAACATTAGGACAATGTGACAATGGTTGGAGGTTCGCTGCAAGAGCAGGTCGAACTATGTTTACAATGCCTTTTTGCACCTTGTCTAAAAGAGAAAAAGCATTATTGGAAGATTTGCCCCAGATATGGCAACAGTATTCCATACAAAGACAGATTAGAGATTTATAGAGATAAAGAATAAAATTCAAAAAATAGAAAGGAGCGAGGACGATAAAGAGAAGCAACCTTAGCAGATGCTGACTTTACAATGGATTTGACATTTCAAAAAAAGATCAGAAGTAAAAGTTAATCCTAGAAGACAAAGAGTAAATGATTCATCAGGTAAATAAACATTCAGAAAATATAGGAAGATCTAGATTATTATGATAACAATTTGCTAGAAAAATTTGAGTTTTATCTGAGTTAAGGTTGACCAGCCACTAAGAGAACCATGCTGTAGCAGCAGTAAGATCCTTTTCAAGCTCTAATATCCCATCTAAGCAATCAAGGTGTGTTGGCTTCTTATAAGTGGTAGTATCATCAGCAAATAATGCCACCTTAGATGGGAGAATTTATGGGAGATTGTTAATGTAAATTAAAAAAAATATATAGGGCCAAGGATAGAACCTTGAGGAACCCCTAAAGTTACAGGAAATGTAGAAGAGTGCTGTCCATCGAGGACAACTTTTATACTACAATTGTTAATGAAGGATTCAATAATCTTAAAGATGTTACCTGATTCACAAATCAGCAGTAGAACAAAAAGATTGAAATCCATATTGATGATCAGCAAGTAAGTTATTATATTTAAAATGAAAGATTAAGCATTTATCAATTAAAGACCCAAAAAACTTGCTTATGATAGGAAGAAGACTAATGGAATGGTAGTTAGACAAGTGAAATCACTCCAGAATTTTTGAAAATAGGGATAACAGATGCCGCTTTCTAGCAGGCTGGAAAACAAGAAGATAAACACTATAAAAGTATAAACGACAGCTCTGGAAAACACTTTTGCAAGATTATAACAGATATGTTGTCCGGACAACAGGCTGTAGAAGAACCTGTTTGTTCATTATATCAGGTAGGATGTGATTAGTGGAATCAAGAGACCAGATTGATGAAAATCTGAACTATGCAAGAGAGGTGTGCCCTTATTATAGACACTGTTAAAGATTCTCCAGAAGTCTCTGGAGCCTAATTTTTGAGATGAAATACTAGATTTCATGAGCTGAAATTAGCAGGCTTTGACAAAACCTTTTTACAATGGTTCCAGATGTCTGTTTTCTGAAGAACTGTTTTGGTGATAGATACGGAAGTAATGGTTTCAATTTGAAATTGCAGCAACTCAATGAGAGGAAAACCATGGAGAAAAGTGAGGCTTGACTTGGAGTCGTTAAGAGTAGAGGGGTCCATAATCATCTTTTTTTAGATTTTTTATAGTTAAACCAATTTTTCTAAATTTGTTTTTCATGCTGATTCTGAAAATCATAGTCACTTCTACTTCGATTTTAATAAAAGTTATTATTTTGACAAAAAAGGCATTGTTAAAAATAGATGAAATTATTATTATCATTAAATATAAGAAAAGTAGAAAATTGAAATCATTTTCTGTTTAACTTATCAATAATTTACATTATAATTTATAAGTAACAAAAAAAATGAAGCATTATATATGAAAATAATTAAAATGCTATTTTTACTATTGAAAATGGAAAAAAACTATCAAATTCGTCATATGTGATAGAGGATTGCTGCGGCAAATATCCGTGTAGAACATCTAGGTTATGAACGTGTTCGTCGGTAGACATAAGATGGAGGTTTGTTTTTTTATATCATGTATTTAAACAGAACAGATCTCCACAACAATGACCTACTTGTATCCCTAAAATAAAGAACCTCATTTTTCAATCTTTCTTTTCATTTTAACATATATTTATCTACTTCAATAAAGTCTAGTTCACAGTTAAATGGATTGCCTTGTAACTTTATTCAAACTAAAATGGAACTCATCTTGCACACCTGATGTAAAGTCCAAAATATTTTTAAACTACGCAAACCTTCATTTTTTTATATGGTTTAAATAATTAAGTAAACATCTACTGTTGAAATTAAATGGGTTTTTTCCAAAGCTTTCCAACTGCAACAACTTAATTAGAAAGTTAATACAAATCATATTCCATCATCAACCAAAACACAGGGGGGTATAGGGAAAAAGGACAAAAAGTGACAAAGGGGGGCGGGGAGTGAGGTCAAAAATTGGCTAAAAAATGGCTTATCTTTATACAAAGTTATTGTTATTAGTTACAGTTTATTGATGCCTCATGAACATTGCTGCCTGGGACAGACAATCCTTTCTACTTCTCGTTGCGCCTGATTAGATTATGCCCTATGACTTTTTTCTTTAATACAAATATTTTTTGGGATTATATATACCCTCATCAAAATCTTGAATAGCCTTCTTGATAGCTTGAATAACGATTAAAAATAAAAAAATAAAAAAGAAATTAAGATATTTTGAAGCAGTCTGTCTTTTTGATTACTTAAAACATTTTGTTTAGAAAGAGACTTCAGATAAAACTCTTTTTTTAAAATTTTTTATCTAATCAACAATTAAAAATTAAATTCACCCAATCAAATATGAATAGCACAAATTTGAAAGAAAAGTTGCATAATTTTTTACACAAAGAAACTTTTGCAAAGACTTTTATTTTTTATATCTTTAAACTTTTTAAATAGAAGTAGAAGATCAACCATAAAAAATTAACAAAAACTGAATTGTTTTTTGAACTTTTCTCAAAAAATTAATTAAGAATATCTGGTTAAACAAGAAATATAGAATTTTGGACCCCCCATATTAAGAAGGGAATAAAAGGATTCCATGCTAGCCTGAATCCAAGAAGTTACATAAGAAGCCCATTTGTCAGCGGAAAAGGAAAGATTTCTACCCAAGGGCCATCATAAAGAAAATCACGAAAAGAGTCCCACTCAGCTTTAAGGTAAGAGGTATGATGATAGGGGGAATCTTGTGATAAAGAAGAATGAGATAATAATCTTAGAGAGATCAAACTGTAATCAGAGCGTGAAGGGTGAATTTGGAAAAGCTGAACACTGACTAGGATCAGAAACAAGACATAAGTCAAGTAGAAGTGGTGCTAAACAAAAGTTTAAGTGAAGTGGTGCTAAATGAAACCGCATAAAAGAATAGCCTGTAGATTCTAACTTAGTTTCTCAACAAATGGGTGAATTCTTATGAATTTAAATGCCCAGGTTAAGCATGTGACCATTGAAGTCTTAACAAATTAAAGAAAGATAACCATCAAATTAGTCTCACAAAGAGTAAGTAGGTCTGGTAAACTTTGCAAGAGATAAGACTCAACAGAAGAAATGTTACTTTGAAGATCATGAATATTAGAGAATGATAGATTTAAAGAACTTGGTGACAACAATGGCTTTTTGTGTTTTACAGCTTTTGGTACTTTAGACATTTTTGGATTTGGCAAAGAAATTGATTCAAAGCACAGATAGTACTCAGTAAACTATCTAATAGCCCAAGCAATTGCCTCATTACTATTAATAAACCCCAAGCTGTAACAAAGAGCTTAATATGTGGCCCCAACAATGCACACCAAAAGTACAAATAGGGACACCATCCATGCACAACATGATACGTTAGTACTCTGATACTTTTACAACTTAAAACTATCAGAAATATTTTTTGCAATGAAAATGGACAAGACATATAGAGTGCTTAAACACCTAAAAAATCTCAAGAAAAATTTTTCCCTGTTGCTAATGAGAACCCCTCCCCTAATAGAAGGTAATAATTTTTTTATACCCTTTAAAAAAATATATAAATGTTATAATTTTGAAAAACAAACATTATGAACTTTTACTTGTGCATACGTACTTTTATATAAGGCCTACCTGCCACTCCACATATATTTAGGCATGCTTTTTGCAGAATCCCCCTCCATATGAAGGCACGAGCTTTACTGAAGCAAAAAACTTCCTTTATAATAGCTAGTTTAGAAGCAAAGCACAAAGTTTTTAAAAATAAATGTTTTGATTAATGGCTTATACAACCCATTTCAATATGAAATAGTTAAGTTGTAATATGTAATTGTTAAAATTACAGAGAATAATACAACTCTCAAAATACATTGTAAAGATCTGTTCTACCAAGTTTGAGCCTCTCTCCTATAATTGTAAAGTTGCAACTCTTTCTCTTTTCTACAAATACTATCATGGTTGCTGCTCAAAGGAGCTATCATTTCTAGTTCCATCAACTAAAACTCATTCTTGCTTGACTTGTCATTCAGCAAATTCTTATCCTTTTACTGTTACTTAAATTGATAGACTGCCTTCCCAAACCAAAACCTTATTAATGTAGTAACACTCCTTGAATGTTCTACCTATTTATCAGTTGATGTAGCAACACTACTTTCATATTCATTTTTCAGTTGATGTATGTAAACAAGAAACAAAATAAAAATAATACACTCAGAATATTTTTATTATTTTTATCTAAATAAAAACATGTATGCTTTTAAAAGCATTCTTGTCTATCATTTTCACTTTTGCAGTTTTTTAAAAAATGAAAAAATTCAATTAGTTTTCTCAATAAAATTTAATGGTTTTTACATAAATTGTACTTAATTTTGTCTTGTTTAACATAAAGAGTTGTTTTTTACCACAATGGGTGGGTTTAGGTGTCAAACTATAGAAATATATACATATATATATATATATATATATATATATATATATATATATATATATATATATATATATATATATATATATATATATATATATATTAATTAGGGTTCGGAATATATATATTCCGAAAAAACCAAAGTTCAAAAATATCTCCCCGGCTGTTTTCTGGTGATGGGTAGCGTAAAAACTCTCAGTTTCAAATTTCAGCCAAAAACGTAAACCCTAACCCTTGTCCCACAAAAATATTTATATTTTGGTTTTTTCAAAGAACTTAAATTGTTTTTATTCTATAACTTTTTGTAAGTAAACAAACAAGTAAACTCAGTTTAAACTTTTATTTTATGCATATGTTCAGAAAAAAATCTAAGGCCACGATAACAAGTTTAATGTGGGAATTAAAGCATAAATATAATATAAAACATAATATAAACAAATTCAAAACTTTCTTAGAATAATTATGTACATGTACATAATTATGAAAAATACATACAAAACTACTTGGAATAATTGTGTACATGTACATAATTATCCCTAGAGAGTTTTGTTAATTAGGAAAAGTTGCATATAAGTTGTAAAATAGTACATATGAAACAGAGTTCTTAAAAGTAAACATACTTGTCATTTTTTGTTTTTATATAGTTAAAGATTGAGGTTATGTTTATGTTGCTATGAGATATTGCAGTGCGTTTTGTGAAATTTACAAAGTTAGTTTTTGTCAATATGAGACAATTAAGTTTACGTTCTAAATGCCAAATTCGGTTGTTGGGGAACAGTCTGGAACAACTACCTTCAAAGAATGTCTTCCCCTAAAAAAGCCTAAGAAGGAACTGTTGTAAGATCACTTACTAGTCCTTTAAAAGCTAAAGAGGTTTGTCAAATGGCTGACCACTTGAATTTATCCCTTAATCAAGTAACAGGGGTCACAACTGCAATACTGAAAAGTAGTGGAGTTGATTTAGACACTGTGGCTATTTTAAAAACTTTGTGTCATCGATATTGTCAAGGAAATAGGACCATAATAGAAAATGAAACAATATATATATATAACGATAAAGAGGCTTTGTATCTCTATTTGGTACAAAAAAACTTGCAACAATATATATATATATATATATATATATATATATATATATATACATACATATACATATATATATATATACATATACATATATATATATATATATATATATATATATATATATATATATATATATATATATATACATACATATACATATATATATATATACATATACATATATATATATATATATATATATATATATATATATATATATATATATATATATATATATATATATATATATATATATATATATATATATATATATATATATATATATATATATATATATATATATATATATATATAAGGAAGCTGAACTGAATAATATATGCGTAAGCAAAGTTCAAAAAACTTTTTTTACTCATAATAGAAAGAGATTAAAGGCCAATTTAGATTATTTTTTTGCCAAGAAATTTTCAAATTATTTAAAACAAGTATTTTTATCATGACACCACCTCTACCTGCCTTTCAAAAACCATAAAACTCAATTTTTATTAGACATAAAAAAGTTGATTATTCAATGTCTTTGTATACAAATATAAAATAACTGCAAAATGATAAATTTTGACTCAGATCATGATCATAACCGTTACAACTACATTTCTGTTTGATACATTGCATTAACAAAACATTATAACTACATTTCTGTTTGATACATTGCATTAACAAAACATTATAACTACATTTCTGTTTGATACATTGCATTAACAAAACATTTTAACTACATTTCTGTTTGATACATTGCATTAACAAAACATTATAACTACATTTCTGTTTGATACATTGCATTAACAAAACATTATAACTACATTTCTGTTTGATACATTGCATTAACAAAACATTATAACTACATTTCTGTTTGATACATTGCATTAACAAAATTTTGTATTTAAATTCATAAAATAAAATAAGAAATACCTGAACATATTTACTCAAAAGGTTAGCTATCTTGACTACATATTTGTTGGATTCTTCAAAAGAAAGGCTTGATACATCATCCTTGTTTTCCAAAATAACAGATAACTTTTCTAATAAAGATTGCACCAAGGGAGCTAACTCAAAAAACAAACTCTAAAAACAGTAGAAATAAATATATATTACAAAACAAAAATTGATTAAAAAAAACTGTTTAATTAATAAAACAACTGATTAGATTATGCTCTTTATAGTTATAACTGTTTATAAGAACCGTTGTCTAAAAAGATGATTATTTTTAAGGCATGCAAAATACAACATTTTACTAATACTGGTAATACCACAAGTACTTTTTTAGCAATACTCAATTTCAGTTAGTCATTAGTCATAGTTACATACATTTCAGTTAGTTATTAGCCATAGTTACATACATTTCAGTTAGTTGTTAGTCATAGTTACATACATTTCAGGTAGTTGTTAGCCATAGTTACATACATTTCAGTTAGTTGTTAGCCATAGTTACATACATTTCAGTTAGTTGTTAGCCATAATTACATACATTTCAGTTATTTGTTAGCCATAGTTACATTCATTTCAGGTAGTTGTTAGCCATAGTTACATACACAGGTTTTCACAGGAAGACGTGCGATTTCACGTCTTTATATGACCACGCAAGTTACATTTTGCTATGTAGGTTTGACCGCGGCTAATTCAAAAATATTCTAAAAAAGTGAAATTAATTACATCAAAACTTCTTAACAAATGTTTTTATATTAGCAAAACGATTTTAAATAAAGTAACAATTTACTGAAAAAAAGTTTTGTTTTTTAAATATAATTGACAGTTGTATATATTTTTTTAATTTAAAACATATAAATTGTTTAAGTGTTCATTTCTAAAATAAATCTTATTAAAAAATAAAAAATTGTTTTGTTTTTATAAACGATGACATTCTACGACTACGAAAGTCTCTTTAATGAATTTAAATATAAGAATGATTAAAGTTAATGCATTTAAAAAGATAAACAAAATTTTGTTTAAAAAAAAAGTCTTAGAAAACTGTTACAATTTAATAAGTTTGAACTTAAATGCTTTTATATTATCGAAACGCTTTTAACGAAGTAAAAAAAAAATACTTCTAATTAATTTTAAAAAAAGTATTAATAAAATATTTTTTTATCTTATTTATTTAACTATGTATTTTTTATGAGAAATATTAAACTTTTGAACATATTAAATAAATAAAAAATATATAAAAATGTTGAAACAAAGATTGAAAGGGTTTTTTAATGCATAAATTAAATAGACTAAGCATTTTAGTTTGATGAGATTTGTTTTAGTTGCGTTATATATGTAAATTTATTTTTTTATGTTTTTGCTTTAACTAAGTATTTTTTTTATTTTCTGTTTTGTTAATATTTATTATTTTTTTAAATTCTTTTTTCAGATAAGTTTAGGTAAGTTTTTGTAGCACATATTTAAATTTTAAAAATATGCCATGGTCAAATCGTTAAAACATTTTTTTTTTGCGTGGTCATATAAAGATGTGAAATCACAGTTCTTCCTGTGAAAGCCTGATACATTTCAGTTAGTTGTTAGCCATAGTTACATACATATCAGTTAATTGTTAGCCATAGTTACATACATTTCAGTTAGTCGTTTGTCATAGTCAATTTCATTATCAATTAGTAAATTTTTTTGACAATAATCAATTATTTTATTAACAAAATAAGATCTTAAACCTAGTAGGATTAAAAAACATATCTAGTGATTTATCATCACAACTAGACTTTATTTTGGAAAAAACCTTTTTTGATTTAACACTTGTTGGTTTTGATTTAATACTTGTTGGTTTTAACAAAGCTTAATAAATTTATTCAAGATGTTTTCATTTAGAATTTAATTTTTTTCATTAAAGGGATCTCAAACCTCTATATTGTGTTCATATTAAAGAGAATGATAAAAAAAATGTTTGGGCTAAATTTTTATGAATAAAACAAAAGAATAAAAACATACCAAGAAAAACTAACTTTTTTATTTTAGTCAAAGCTCACCTTCTCTATTTTGTTGTAGGCCAAAAAGTCAGCATAATATATGCCACAACCAACAGACTTGATAATTTATTCAAGTGAACTTTATTCCTAAGAACTTAAGTACATGATGTCATTGATTTTTTTTGTTTATGTAAAAGATCTATTATGTAAACAAACAAAAAAACAATAAACTCTTAGAAATAAAACGCACTTGAATGGCGTGTTATGCTGCCTTTTTGGCCTACAACAAAACAAAGTAGAACAACGAAACAAAGAAGGTCTACAACGAAACAAAGAAGGTTTTTTTTAATATGAACACAACATGTCTCGAAGGTTTTAAATCATTGGATTTATTTTTTTATTTTTGCAGTAGGACAGATGCATTTGTGGTTACAAACCTTCCCGGGAAGCAATGAATATCAAAATTTAATGAAATAAAGTAGAAAAATTTAATAATTAAAAAAAAAATTAAAAAAGAAAAAAAATTTTAATAAAATTTTCATACGTATTTTTTTTTAGGGTGGTTGTTATTTTTAGCTACAGAACTTTATAATAACAATCGAATATTTTGATATGCAATTTATTCATGATTTTTATGAAACTAATTTGCTATGTACTCTAGAACTATTAGAAACTTTGTTAATTTTTTTCTTTGTTAATGTTTATTCGTATTGTTAAAAATGTTCAGTAATATAACAATGCAGATTTTGGAGCATTGATAACAAAAGTTCATCATGAAATAAACTATCGGGTTTAATGGGCAAAAGTCAAATAAAAAGTTCACTATTACCTCAAAGAAATAATATTAATAAATCAGATATATTTTGTCCTTATAAAATATCTAACGAGTTTAATAAATACTTTTTCAAATGTTGGGATTAGTCTTGCAAATAAAATTATACCAACTTCTTTGTCATTTAAGACATATCTAAGAAAATCAATAGATGCAACAATGTATGATAGTGACTTAACTTTTCTTGAATTTGACGCAGCTTATTTTTCTTTTAAAAAAAAAAATCTCCAGGGTTTAATGAAATTTCCAGTAATATCGTTAGAAAGCATTACAAAACCTTTGTTCCACATAGTAAACCTATCTTTAGATCAAGGAACATTACCTAATATACTTAAACTTGCAATAGTATACCCAATTTATAAAAATAATGATCGCGCCGACATATCAAACTATAGACCCATATCCGTACTTTCTGTTTTCTCAAAAATCTTTTAACGTGTAGTTTATAATAGAATATTTGATTATTTTACAAAAAATAAATTTTTTAATACAAAACAATTGGAATTTCAAAAAAAAACTTTCAACAGAACATGCCATTATTGAATTAGTTGACCAAATAACTGATGGTTTTGAAAGTGATAAGTTTGCTCTCGAAGTAAACTTCAAATTCTCAGTTTTATCATTCTTATTTAAAGTTGTGAATGCTGTTGTAATAAAAGGGTTAAACTGTGATTTAACCCTTTCATTACAACAGTGTTCATGTATTTTTTTCATAAATTTTCAATCAAATTATAAAAATTTATGAAAAAAAAAAAACAATAAATTTATGGCTGCAAAAATAATAACATCAATATTTACATATTTTAATTTATTGTTTATTTAAACACCAGTTAGTTCAAGTACTATACATAAAAATAAAGTTAAAATAATAGTTACAAAAAGTCCATAAAGTATGCACAGTTATCTTAAAACCAACCAATTAAAAATTACATTAAAGCTATTAGCGAATTGCACAAAATATTAAAATCTGATTTTGGTAGGGGGAAACTTTAAAGAATTATTTAAAAATTTTAATGTTTTAAATTAAACATTAATTGATGATAAAAAAATGATAATAAAGATATAATTTAAAATGAGATACATTTTATTTTAAAATTAAATATAAGTGGTTTAAAATGGTGTTTGTATGTTTTCAAACACCTCTTTCTTTAATTTTATTTAAATATCTGTGCTAGAGTTACGTGCATTTAATTTATGATTATAATTAATTTATGATTATAATTAATTTATAAGATATATATAAGATATAAGTTGCACTTTTTTTTATTTAAAATATTTGATCACCGCTAAATTCAATTAGGCTGTTGTGGTTTGCGGTTGTTTAATTTTAAATAAACCAGATTGTACAGCTTTATTTTTATCTGATGATTTATCAAAGAAATTTTAAATCATAATTTTTAGTAACAATAATATAAAATGGTTTTATAATGAGATTTTTTATTATAATAAAAGACCAGAAGCAGATACATCAATTAGCGATCACTTAATTTCCCCTTTGTAATACATCCTTCCTTTCTACATTTAATGCTAGTCTTTGCTTTGATAATTCGTCTAATGTGACATTGGTTGTTATTAAATTAGCATCATTATTTTCAATTTCTTGCTCTTAAGTAGAAATGTTTATAATTAAAATTAACTAAATTATTTGACTTGCAAAACTAATTTATTGAATATTGTAAAACAAACAGTAGTTTTTAATTTTACATAAAAACTTTTTTTCTTTGAAATTATTAAACTGGAACAGGTTTTAATAAGTTTTTGGTGGTTGGAAATTGATAAAATAGATAAGAATTAAATTTTTTTTTCAATGACTTTCCAATGGAAAGTGATTGAAAAGTGTAGGGAAGTAAGGGCAAATTTTATTATTAGTAATATTATAATTTTATTACCTCTTAAAAAAGAAAGTGATTAATTTTTGAATACTTTTCACTTTCCGGAAATTGGAAATAGATTGAATTCAATCCCAGAAAGTTGGAAACTCATTAAAACTTAACTTTTTTTATGTCACATAAATTGTATAATTAAAACAATTTATTTTTCATTATAAAAACACGGATTATTTAAAAAAGTTCCACTTTCTCGGAATGAAAGCGAAATTGAACACTCCTAGTGCAAAATTAAATATTAAAATACTTTGTAGATTCTTAATTGTAATGGGTATTTATTACTTGTTATATTTACAATATAAGACAATGTATATTAACATATAAATAAAATATATATACTTTATATACTTTATTTAATTGTTAATTATCTTTTAAAAATTCGAACGCACACATATATGTAACGTTTTTCATTTAAAGGAGAATAATGTTGATAGGTATATAACA